TGATGATGATGATGATGATGATGATGATGATGATGATGATGATGATGATGATGATGATGATGATGATGATGATGATGATGATAATGATGATGATAATGATTATTATTATTATTATTTTTATTATTATTATTATTATTATTATTATTTTTATTATTATTATTAATTATTTTATTACTTATCTACTATAGTGCTCGTCACTTTATATTTTCATTCGTATGATGATTTATGTTCAAATTTTTTTTATCATCTGCGATAGTCGCTTAAATAACATTTACAATATACAAATGCACAATATTTATTTATAATTACAGATCGATTAATTGATGATAATAACTCCTCTTGTGCCATAATTCAATCCTACCTTCCAATCTAAAAAGCTTTCAACGTAGAGTAATAAAATTTCAATTAACTGGCTAATCTTTAAAGCACATTTCATGGACGAATTTGAAATATTCTTTGTTTTTTTGTTGTTGTTGCTTATTTCATCTTTTGAAATAGTCTTCTGCATACAATTGATTACAGAATTCCGATTACGATACATGTACGAAGTTATTATATAACATTTTAAATCAATACTATGTTAGTATATTTCTTGGGATACATTATGTCATGAAGTCAACTGAAAAAGATGATTTTACAAATTTCATTTACAACTTTAAAATTAAAAAAAAAATATTTCAGATTTACGAACAAAGTAATAAAAAATTCAATGAAAAATATAAAAAAGAACAAATAATAGACTTCGACATACTGTAATAACGAAAGATATCTCATAATTTAATAAGTGAAAATAGTTTTTATTTAAACTTGGACATAATGGTAAATTAATTATAAAAAAAAAAGAAAATTAGTGATTGGTGCTATATAAAATGAAACAGTTTTTATTTCTTATATTAAAATAGTTTAATTAAAACATTCAGAGTTATCATTAAATGTTTTTTATGCTTAATGGAAGTTGACAAAAGAAAAAGAAAACGATGTGATACATTTGATTAATTTTTATTAAGTTATATTACTAAAATCATATAAATCATGCATAACTATTCCTTATGATTTAAATTGATAATAATGATTTATTTAAAAATGTTTTATTTTATTTTTTATTTAAAAAAATTTTTTTTGTTCTAAAGTTAAATTCTTTGAATCATATTAATTGATCGTTGAAAATTTATCAAAAGTAAGGAATATAGTTAATTAAATAAATGGACTTTTATAAAACTTTTATAATATTTTATTCAATGTTTTACATTTATTTCCGAAAAAAGCGAACTCTGTAAATCAAATTTTCCTCTTGTTATGTAATAACATAAGTTGTGATTGTTACAAACCCCCTTTGAAAAGGAGAAAATTTTTATTCCTTGATGTTACATAGAATTTACACAGAAATATGAGTAGTAATAATAGATTTTTCAAAAAAAAAAAATAAAAAAGACGTTTTTATACAAAATGTACACTTCGATGTTAAAGGAATATGCTAATATCATGCGTTGTTGTTTCGTCGCATCTGTTGTTTAGTATGACAATGTATATATCATACTAAATACATTTATTTAATTTTTTTATTCACTTCTATAAGATCTAGATTAAATTGATCATAAATTAAATCGCGAATTACATGTCCAGATTTGTAATCAAAGAGAGCAGCAAGCAAGCAAGGCTATACACATACATATTGCTCATAAATTTTGTTTGCATCTCATGAACTTTAGAGTAGCACATCGATTTTATATCCAATATTCGTGTAGTAGATTTTCCAATATTAATAAGATCATCTGAAAGAGGTCTAATTCTAACAAATATGAGAAGCATGTATGTATAGTTAATAATGGTTACAGACACCTGAATACCTCGGCCACCAAAGGAGGTATATTAGAGTGAAAATTAGTAACATTTTATAGTGACTGTATTGACATTGATATATGTTGCACATATATTTGTTCTTCTACGAAATCTTAGTCTTATTAAATAATATTATTTTATTTTATTTAATAGTAATTCTTTATAATTCGTTATATAATACGTAGCATTCTATGCCGAGCAGTAAATTTTTTGTGTTCTTTTTTTTTTTATGTTGTACATATATAAATATATAAATATCTATAGTTACGTTAATAATATTATATATAAAATACTGATATTAATTTACGATTACGTTGCATAGATTATTTATCAAATTTATAAAGCACATTAAATGTAGTTATTAATATAAATAAATTTTCTTTTAAATGCAAAAGAAGTATACATTATAAATTTTAATAATTACAAATTGTTATTTATACAATCATGTTATGAATTTAACTGTTTTTTATTGCATATTTGTTATTTGCTTGCTTCATTGAGCATATACGCCTAACTTATATGTTATTATATTTGCTCGGCATAGAATAAAAATTGATTCTTGAGAAAACCAAAGTTAGTAACTGTACTCAAAGTACAACATTTGATTAATTTAATATAATGCAATTACAAACATAATACGAATTAAATGAAAAGAAGTTTTAATTTTATTAAATTCTTAAGTTCGTAATATATTTTTGAATGTATATTTTGACTGTCGAATATAACTTCATATGGTGCATTAATTAGATTATTATATATATATTGGAAATAATTAAGGATTTCTATAAAAAAAAGTAAGATATGGAACTTATTATTTATTTTAATGGAGGAAGTGAAAATTTGTAATTATATATATTTTACAGTTCGTCTGTCTATAATTATAAGAATAAATCGTGCTTTAATAACACAATGTATAATAAGAATGCATACATAACATTAACGTATAAAGTGGAAAGCAATAATGTGATGAAACATAATCTACATCTAAAAGAATTTATTTAATACATGCAAGGTGAGTCACTAAGTTACTATCATTTGGAATATCTTATTTATTTATAAATACAATACAAAGAAAATAGTACTTTATTGACTATTAGAAAAATGAAGTACTTAAATTAGAAAATCATTTAAAAGTTGTATTACTTGTCGTATTAAACATTTATACATTATTTTAAAAAGAAAGCTCAAAATATGTTACAAATTCATAACGTTAAATACAGAGGGTGATCGGTCAACGAACATCGTCTTTGAGCGGACTATAATTGTTAACCAATTACCCACTGTATAAACAATAATAGATTCGTTCTCAAATTATATAAATTTATTTTTTATTTATTTGCGTTATATGATCAATAATATATAAAACATTCTTAATAGTAATAGTGACTTGTCCTAGCACGATTTAATTAATAAAGAATAAAACTAATGTTTTAAATGCATGTTGTACTTTGACTAGAGAACTGATAACATTGATAATTGTCTGTTACGTGTAATCAACAAATGCTAGTCATAAATATCGAATATTAAGTTGGATTTCAGTATTGTTTCTTAATAAATATCTATGCACAAACTTATATTTATTTTCAATTATTTTGTAAACACAATCCAAAAAAAAATGAAATTAATCGTAACTTGTGCAAACAAAAAAAAGAAAAAAAGAAAGGAATGAAATAAACTTATAAAAATATTAGTCTTGTCATTATCTCAATAAGAGTAATTATTTTTAATTATGTCTTAAGGTATCATTATATTGGACTATATAATATATGAATGTAAATGTGTGGGCTTCTCTAGTGTAATATATATATTTTGTCATCAAGTTCGATTGTTGTCAGGGTGAAATGCATAAAAATCGCCTTTTTACGAATGGAGTGTTAAATTTGTTAGGTAAAAGTAATACATTAAATATAAATTATATATATATATATATATTATATATGATTTTTATTATTATTATTATTGTATAAGAGAAATAACATTAACATTGGCAATCAAATAATTTAGGTTGCACAAATAAATTGCCATAAAATTTCTCAAATTGTAGAGTAGAATATTTTTATTAATACAATGTAATTGGATATTTTATTATTTTTTATATTAGTGTATTTTTTCATTTATTTTTATGATTCAGATCGTTTTGACTAAATACATAATATTTTACAAACAAATATTTTATAAATTGTGACAACAAATTCGATATAATAATTGCAAGAAAGATAGTACGATTATAAATTGATGAAATTATAATATATTATGTTGTAATTAAAGTATGTTATTAAAGGAATCTTGCTTTGATAAAATGAGAATTATGAGAAATATACTACATAAATTCTGTGTCAATATTGAAAAGAACAATTTTTCTATCTTACAGCTATTAACATATGTAAATTGTCTTTTTTTAACATTATAAACAAAAACGCACTTTAAACATAAAAAAAAAAAACAAGAAATGGTATGTATTTCATTATCTTACATTTGTACCATAATGTCATCACGATAATAAAATAAATATGATTTTCAAAATTATAACATCGTCTATATTTTATATAATAGATAAATAATAACAGTTACATTAAACATAAGAATGTATGTCTTTCTTTAGATATGGTTATAAAATTTGTAATAATATTAAATTATAAAAATAATTTTATTCAATTGGAAAGCTTAATTCACGTAATAATATTTAATAATGTCTAATGAATAGACATAATAATAATCGTTAAGTAGAGTTAAGTAGAGAATATCAATAATTATACTTTTAATAAAAACCTCTTCTGAATTAATTATCCCTTCTTAAAATAATTTTTATATTGCTATATACAAAAGTAAGATAGAAATAATTCGAGAAAATAAATATTACTGTATGAATTTACACAGAAAACAATAAAAGTAGATATAAGCCACTTTTCTTCGGCATTAATTTTAGAATAAAAATTAGCATAACAAGATAAATAATGTCATATTAAGATGGTATTCCAAGAGTTTTTCTAACAAGTTTTTGCGCGATTCTCTCAAACTCTGATCTATCTTCTCTCCACATTTTGGCAGCATCAACATTTGCTCCGCTTTCATCGTTGGGTTCAGCAAGCATACTCACTACGCTTAACAATATTTTTTCTACGCTTTGAACTGGACTCCATCTTTCTGCGCTACTCTCATATCCCATTGGATCATCGCCGGGAGCATGTAAGATGCTTATGCATACTCTTCCATCTGCATAAACTATAGGTAAATACAATATAAATAATTATGCACGCCAACTTGAAAAAATAAATTTATATTCAATATAAAAAGACATTTACTATTAGGGTGAAATATTTCACAAGTGAATTGCATTTTTGGTGGACTGAGAGGATAGTCAGATGGAAATATTAATTTAGCTGGAAATACGCCACCTTCAAAGCATGTTCCCTCTGGTCCTCTGCACATATATTTAATATTATTTAAAAATGTTATAATTTATGTATAAGATTTCTTTAATGCGTTAAATGAGTAACACAATATTTTTAAAGTTTTAAATAATATTGGAAAATGTAAATATACGTACGTAATTAATGCTTCCCATTCAAAAAAATTTTCTTCGCTTAGTGGGCCAGCAATTATACCTTCTGGTGGATTTAAGGTTAACTCTGGAAAGGTATTGCAATATCATTGATTTTTATGTCTTTTGTAGAATACTATAAATATCTTAGAAATATATTGTATAAAGCAAGACAATACGATTAAAATAAGAAAAGATTGACTTTCTTACGCTTATACTCGGCCATTAATCGTCTTAACGCAGATCCAGCCATTATTTTGACTTTACAATTGTCATATGTCTCGTCCAACGGAATGCAAATAAGAATTCAGAGTGCGATAAACTTGTATGTCTCACATTAGAAGCGACAAATTCACTGCATGGTAAGGAAAATTTGCTTTAATCTACCTTATCGACGATCCCAATGTTTTCTTTAGTGTGATATATTGTAACAGATAACGCGGACAGTATAAATACAATTTTGTTTATAAAGCCTACCTTCTTATTATTAAGTATATAAGATGCTTTTATTATTTTCCATGTTATATATGGTATATATATATATATATATTATATATATATATAATCGATGACATACGTGATATGAATCATACATAAAAGTGAATAATAATATCGTCTTATACACGGAGGGTCTTATATATCTCGCATTATATGTATTGTATTTTATCCGTCAAATTTATTAATGTAAAATGATTTATATCGAAAATTTTCAAGTTGGTACTAATTCACTGATCAGTTTTCAAACAATAACAACTTAGTGTTTGTATCACATGTTAGGTTAAGTTTGTAATCTATTTTATAAACCGATGATGTGAAAGTGTTAATAAAATAATATTTGTCGATAGTTTTGTGCATCCGTATTAATAAAGTGTATTAATATGCGTAGTTATTCGTTTTTGTTAAGGCAAAAATTATATATAAAAGACAAAAATATAAAATAACAATTTTGCATTTGTACGCTATTTTCATCGTAAAGATTATTTTCTATTTATGAAATTTTAATATTTAGTTGAAAAAACATCTATTTAATTTATGAAAGATTTATAACAAGTATAAGTATAATATATTATGTAAGTATAATAATAAAATATATTATGTTTATAAAACTACAAATGATAAATATTAATACATATATTTATTTTTTAAAGAAAAATCAAAAATCTTGTGATGATGTCGATCAACGTTGTTAAATTTACTAAATTGAGAACATCTACGAATTCTACATTTTGGGCTAAATTTTCGGAATTGAAGATAGATAAACTTCGATTGGATGAAAAATCACATATTAAATTATGGGGAAGTTATTCTCTCGATGTTCCAGATAGAGAAAATAATAATCCTTTATTATTGGACTATACTTCGTTTAATGAGTAAGCAAGAGTTTATTACAAATTTATATTTCACGCATATAATATTAATTTCTAATCATTTAATTTTTAGGAATATTGAATCAAATTCAATTAATAAATCAGTAATATCTTACGGTTATATGGTTAATACAAATACGTATGAAGCATTTAGAAAGATTGATCCGCAGAGTTTTATAGATTCTATGGGAAAATGTATTATCGATGACATTACGTCTGGTGAAGCATTAACCGAGCCATGGAAACTTTCCATATTTTTATTATTTTCTTATGCCGATTTGAAATCTTATAAGTTTCATTATTGGATAGCACATCCTACGCCTTTGTCTTTGCCAGAAATGTATCATGAAAAAATTCCGAAATCAATAAACGACATTTTTTCGGAAAACCAATTAGATAAATTATATGAAAGTTTTCAACAATTGGATTACAAACAAAAGCCATTTTTTTCTGTTTTTCTATTCAACAAAAAGAATATCGAAGTTAATACTTTAAGCAAAGGTATCACATATATTAACGCGTGTGAAAATAAAGTTGGGGTAATATATGATTTATATTACTTATTCTAAATAACATTGATAATATAGATTAATTTAGATATAAATATAGTAACTGATTATTTATGTTTATTTTAGATAGATTGTGAAATATTTTTTGCGTTCTACGATCCATGCAAAAGTTTAGAACCTGGTTGGCAATTAAGGAATCTTTTATGTCTATTATTTTGGCATTGCCCCACACATTCTTTTACAAAGAGTATACAAATATTATCTCTGCGTAAAAATGATTTTAGAACGGCTGTTGTATATACTTTGAAATGTAAAGAGTACGCGGATCAAGAAAAGGTGAAAAAATCTATATCCGGCAGTCATTTAGTTGGATGGGAACAGAATGAAAATGGTAAAATGGGTCCTCGAATTATTGATTTATCTGAGAGTTTAAATCCGATTAAGTAAGTTCTACGAATATCATTATTTTTAAATTCTATAATCTATAAATTATTATTATTATTATTATTATTATTATTAATATATAATATACAGGCTAGCAGAAAATGCAATTAATTTAAATTTAAAATTAATGAAATGGCGGCTTGTTCCTGATTTGGATTTAGAGAAGATCAGTAATCTCAAATGTTTATTATTGGGTGCTGGAACATTAGGATGTGCAGTAGCCAGAGTACTCATTGGTTGGGGTATTACCAACATTACATTTGTGGATAAATCAACAGTTTCTCATAGTAACACTGTAAGACAAAGTCTTTACACTCACGAAGATGCTGTGCAAAGAAAATTTAAAGTAGATGCTGCTAAAGATGCTTTGCTTAAGATTCTCCCAACAATGGTAAATATTTTATAAAATATATATTAAGTATTTCTAGTAAATACATTTTTGTGTTATTTTATGTTACTTGCACTTATATTCCATAGAATGTACACAGTATTAACTTACAAATTCCGATGCCTGGACACGTAGTCGGACAAAGTATGTTGAACGCAACTAAAGAAGCTGTTGAAAAGTTAGAAAATGCCATTGCTGGAAACGATGTAGTATTTTTACTATTAGATTCACGCGAAGCTAGATGGTTACCAACTTTACTATGCGCAGTAATGAAAAAAATAACTATTAACGCAGCTTTGGGTTTTGATACTTATATGGTACAACGACATGGAATAAGAAATTTGACGGATAGTCCTGTATCTGATATTACCACACTAAATCCTGATGGAAAGGATCTTGGGTGTTATTTTTGCAATGACGTAACCCAACCGGGAAATGTAAATTTATTTCTTAGAAATAATGTAATAATTTATTGGTAAATTATAAAAAAATAATTCTAAATATTATTCTAGTCTCAAACAGATAGAACTCTTGACCTACAGTGTACAGTAAGTCGTCCAGGATTGTCTCAAATTGCTGCAGGCTTAGCAGTAGAATTAATGGTCGCAATAACTCAACATCCACAAGGGTTAGAAATATTTCATTATATTTCCTAATAAATGTTATCAATACGCGTATTAATAAAAGTTTAATGTTTATGCAATTTATAGTTTAGAAGCTAGGGCACTGGTAACTGAAAATAAAAACAACGTCAATTCAAATTTCAACGGTAACACATTAGAAGGATTACTTGGAGCTATACCGCATACAATAAGAGGATCTATTTGGTCATTTGAATCCTTTCTGACTGTTACCCATAGATTTTCTTCTTGCGCTGCGTGTTCCCTACCATTGATGTTGGAATATAAAAAACGTGGCTTCCAGTTCATACTCGATGCTTGCAATATACCGAATTATTTGGAAAAATTGTGCGGTTTGGAAGAACTTTTGAATGATTCAGACTTAGATAAGGTAGAAAGCAATAATAATATAATAGAAATGCAATAATATAACAAAGAAAAAATAAAAATTAATTTTTATTGGAACATTTTGTATTTTTTTCAGCTTTGTAATTTTTTAGATGATTCTAGTGAAGACGAAGAACAATTCAGATTGATGTCAATTTGAATCAATTGCTCTCATATATCTTTTACTTTTTATTCTAATTTTATTGTACATCTTACTATACATTTGTATATTTTTTCTAATCAAACATTTAAGTAGATGTTAATAGGGAATTTAAATATTTATTAATTTACATATGTACTTTATATACTTGCGATATATTATATAACGTGAATATAAATATTGTCTGTTTCAATCGAATGATAAATAAACATATTGTTTATGTATAAACAAATGAAATTAAGGAACAAACAATATAAGCATTCATTATTAAAAAAAACTTTTTAATTTAAAAAAAAGGAAAAATATCAACATTGACATACATAACGCAGTTAGAATTAAAGTACGTGCATACAAATCGATTCGTTGTCATCTGTTGTTAGTATTTTATTATTTTTTATTAGTTTCTTAAGCGTACACTAGTGCTGTCTAAATTCTCTTAGTCCATTTTTACTTTTGTAAATGTTTTAACATCACTATCAAAAATTTTGTTAGAAAAAAAGTTTTTTTGTATATTTTCGTTTTAAGACTTACAATTAGTCGTTGTAAAAACAAATTTTTTTCCTAATGTCTGTCCAAAGAATCAACAAATGATCGATCTATTAAACGAATCTATGTATTTATTTATAAGAAAAATTTTATTTGTTATACTTTGGTATTAAAAAATGTAACCGTTAGATAAATAACGATTGTTTAAAAAATTTCGTTGGAGAGCGCTGGCATATACTGCTGCGTATGTAGTTGAAAATTTTGCCAGTAGAATACGCTAGTGCATCTCGAATTCCATGCATTCCAGCGTAATGTCGAGTACTGGTGGGGGTAGTGAGTCTACCTCTCGTGTCAAACGGGTTGGACTTCGTGTGTCCGCCCGCATACCATTAGATTTCTATCCTTTTCAATGAAAATACATGTAAACGGTGTTATCGCTAAGTGAACATTAGTTTCTTTAAATGGTTTTACCATACTTTATTATCTAAACGTCATTTCAATACTTTCGGGTAAGTGACATTATTTTGATCACTCAAATAATATTAAATAAACCGACTTTACGAGGAAGGAATGCGTGTCTTGCTTTTTTATGGCACGCCACACCGCATTCCTCTTTTGATTCCCGCGAACGCATCGTAACTGTGAAAAGGATTACTTTTTTTTTTAAACCTTAAACAAACAATTAAATTCCTTCTCATCGACATCGAATAATAAAATTCCAAATTCATTTACCGATTAAATAGATGATCAACGCATTTCGAATAAATATTGTAATTATCTACCATTCGATCGTTGCAATTTTAATTCTTACTTACCGCGATAGGTAAAACGCGATGTTCGATAATCGTTTTGCAATGATCTGTGTATCGCGATAACTGAATAGACGCGCATTTTAATGACAAATTTAAGAAAAATATCATTTTCGATCAATTTTCTTTAACAACAAATATCCAATTACAAATAATATTCGTAGAAAATATTTTAAACATTTTCTACGATTACAAAGATACATAATTATATTATCAAATACAAAATACAATTCCTTTGTTGTATTTTACAATTATTGAAGATTATCTAAGAACAATGATCTAAAGTTGAAGAAATTCGAAAAAGAGCGCGGTGTTTGGTACCCAAGGTAAAATAAATATTATAGAAAATACAGAAAACAAAAATAAAATTTCAATGAGGTTTCTAAGGGAGCAAGGAGGATTATAAAGGAAGGAATTTATTAAGGGATTATAGGAAAAGGGTAAACTAATGTAAGTGTGTCTAAGACAATAATCACGATAAGAGTCATCGATACTCTAAGGAAATGGAGAAGGAGGAGGAGTTGGAGGTGGGACAGGGGGGAGAAGAAATAGGAACACGATATCGGCGAATTGGTGGAAGATTGGTAGGGGGTCTGAGGGGGTACTAGCAGAGGGATCAGCGGGGGGTCGACGGGAGTGAATCGTGTGCGGGGGTGGGAGGAAGGGAGGGGGAGCTAAAGAGACGGGCCTCTCTCGATGGCGAGAGTCCGCATTCCACAGACAATGTCATGTTTTTTTAATCCCCGTTTGACTTTATTCGCGTCATCTTTGAACTCCTTAAAAGATCATAATAAAAACTTCATTTTCTATTTTATTTTCTTAGTAAAGAACAGAATTGACCATTTGCGCGAACGAGGTGGTTAAGGGTCAGCTTATAAACGAATTACCAAAAGGTAGAACGTGTGAAGGTCAACTGCAATACTTTTTAAGAGGCGCGCCACAATTTTCGCGCCTTCCTTGAGAAGAGAAAGAGAAAGCAGAGGGAGAGGGTGGGGGTGACGAAGAGCGGAAACGATAAAAAAAGAAAAAAAAGAAAGCTAGAGGAGAAAGAAGATATATATTGTTCGACGATTGCTGCAAGGAAAAGTGAAAAATTATCAAAAGTGATATGTCGGCCCTCGAAAGCGCATTGGATGTCCTATCTAGAGCTGCTACTATGGTACAAGGTTAGTTGACAATTATTTCAATGAATAATTTAATTTTAGAATTTATTATAATAGTAGTTTTAGTATTTTTGTCATTTAATCTAACAATTTAGTAGTTGATTTATGTGCAATATCCCTCTTCTTCGTGTTTCTCGTCTATTATTTAAATAATTTATTTATTGATTTTTTTTTCTTGCCTCAATTCTCTTTCTTCTTATTTTTTTTTTTTTTGTAAGAAAGAGAGCCTTTTTTATTTTAATTTATGCATCTATTTATCTAATTTTTATTTCAATATCCATCAGATAATGTGACTCATGTATTGCGAGATAATTAAAATTTTAAAAATTCGCGGCCAGCCGATTGTGGCGCTATCTGACAAAATTGCGTGGTACGACTGTTGAATGCAATTTTGCTTATATTTAGGCGTCGCGCACTTTAGCGCGTTTTCGCCCTTCAACGCCAACGATTATGAATGACTACGTTCTTTCATTTATATACTTATGTACTTATGTGTGTATATAATAATTACGATGATAACAAGGAGAAAAGATTTAACAATGCATAACTTTTCGCACACACAATATATACGTACAAGTAGCGTCTAGTTTTTGACAATTTATAATTATGCTTCTTTCGTCTCGATAATTTGCTTCCTACTTTTTCGAACTAATATTTAGATTTTTTTATTATTATTACTATTATTTTCACTTGATATTAGCGCGTGCGATTTAAATGATGAATTGTATTCAATACGTATCTTCCAATGAGAAATAAAAAGAATAATCATGTAGTCGAAATATTGAATGAAGGGCTGATCGAGATAAGCGTTTATGGAAAATATTGATATTAAATGTTAGAGAATAGGACAGGGAAAGAAAAAAAAAGAGGAAAGAGAGAAAGARAGAAATAATATATATCACTTAGATTTTTTATTCTCTATATTATACGTGAGCATATAAAAGTAGCACAACAGAAGAGAGAATTGTCCATGTTCCTTTTGAAAAAAAGATATATATATATGTGTGTATTGTATGAATATGCATGTATTGTAACGAGAACACATGCAACTATGATTAATTCCTGATATTATTCTTATATGCATATGTATCGTTTAACGTAAAAATACGTTAGAATACGAATCATTTAAAAATTCGTTACGCGTGATTTAGTAATATCTAATTAAAATGACATTCTTTTTCTATAAACAATAAATGTGTTCCGTTTGTTTGAAAGTGCAATAAATTTTTTTGTTTACTTATTTGCAGGTTAATGCCTGCTAACATATACCTTTTTACATCATTATATACTTCCTTTGAGTATGTTATATTTTGTTGATTGTACGGAAATATTTCATAAACGTTTGTCCGTTATGATTCGTCTATTTCATTGATATTTCGTTCAAGGTGATTATTCTTTTTCTTTCAGAAGAGGAAGAAGAAGAAGAGAGTCGTGAGAATGGATAACTCCGCTAGACAGACGATGAATCGATCGCAACTTTATCGAAGCATTAATCTGTGCCAACGACAGCCATATAGTCATGCGGGTTGTCTTGCTAAATGATAAACAACAACTACTGTCTGACTTGAGAGAAGATATTTATTTTTGTAAGTAAATCGCACGACTTTTTTCCGCTAATGTTCATCCTAAAAAGTTCTTGTATTTATTGAGTAAAATAATAGACGATTATCAATTTATCGTCTTCCTCTTTGTTGATTATTAAGAAATTATCAATTTTTTTGTTTTATTTTTTTAACGACAGATAAGAAACAATAGAGCAAATAGAGATGCACAAGAATGGCATCGGAAATGTATTTTTATTCTGTATCAATTTTATATCACAACACACGTGGTACTTTCAAAGTTCGTATTTTGCGGTTTGACATGGTAGACCCGATTATTGTTATATGAAACGTGCGAATAAACTATCAAAAAATCGCATGGGAAGAATTTACGAGACCGTATATCGCTTTAGAAAAGACCTTTTAATAAAAAGACAGATTTACCGCGATTATTCGCGTACTTTTACACGACATTTAACATAACCGACGTATTATGATATACCCAGATAATATCCAGATTTTTATCATTCACTAAATCTCACGCTATTAAATTTGAAAACTTTCGACGGGAAATACTTTTTTATTTAATATTGTAGGATTTCAGGTTGGATTTTAAGAAACTAACCCGATATGGATAACACCACAAATTCAATCCCACAATATCAAGAATTCGATATTATTTAACAGAAAATTGTGCTTCGATGAGTGTCATATTTTGGCACATTGCGGTCGTTCAAATTGGACAGCGGACTGTAGCTACACATCCAGCATGTCTTCTTTCCCTTTTTAGCTTTTTCCGTTCACAAATGCTGGTCCTTTGGTTATAAACCTGTTTGCTTGTCTTTCTTGATGATCCTCTCACGGCTATTAGGCCGTTTCCTGTCTCCTCTTGAGAAGCAAACTCGTTTTCTCGCGTTTGCGCATGTGTACAACGATAATAACATTCCTAATAAAGAGAATTTAAGATTATAACATTTAGATTTTAGCATTTTTTTCATTCTAATTTGTGTTTTTAAACCAAATAAAAAGATCGAATCTTATAAATTGCGATTTCTCTGACAATATTAAAAAGCTTTTGAATTAATATAAAATAGCAATCCCCTCTTTAGTCAACCCTTAACAATCTATTATTATTGTTCCTTTATAAGTTTCCTATGAAAAATAATGTAACATATTAATTAAATGTAGGATTTTATCATTTTTATAGTTTATTTAATAAATATTTATTAACTTTTCTTAGAAAGAGTAAAAGGATGATAGAAGTAAATATATGTATAAGATTATATTATATATAACTTCCTAACATGACTTCTTAACGTAACTTCTTAACAACTTCTTAGCAGAACTTATCGTTCTTTTGTTAAGCATATATTGGTCTAAGAGCTGGCTACATAAAAATGCATTTGTCTGGTTCAAGATTCATTTCTATTGAAAAAAGTACCTTTGGTATAGCTGAACATAAAACTGCAAGTCTGCCATCGCAAAAATGGGGCCTAAAGCGGGGGGAAATACGATTGAATACGATTGAAGTACGATTGAATACAAGGTGAAAATGTCCGCGTTAAGAGACTTGCAAAAGATTACTCTATCAGTAAAATATTTTCGAAAATACCTTGTAGAAAGATTTTTTAGAAGCCTTTTTGAAAGGTTTAAAGCTTTTCAAGAAATGTTTTAGAATTGATTTTTGATAAATTTGATTTTTTTTAAATTAATTTTTACACCCCTTTGGCGCGCTCTGGCGGCACTTTAACCCCGAGCAAACTGTCTACCAATATTTTTTCGCGATTCTTTAATATAAATACAAGCTTTTTCCATAATTAGAATCCGTGAACCTTATGATTTTTTTGACACCTAAATGTCACGTTTTCAATCGTACCCCCCCCCCCGCTTTAGGCCCCAGTTTTGCGATGGCAGATTTGCAGATTTATGTTCAGCTATACCAAAGGTACCTTTTTCAATAGAAATGAATCTTGAACCAGATAAATGCATTTTTATGTAACCAGCTCTCCGTCTATATGAGCTGTTCAGTGCACACATCGATTAACTCCGTAAAACAAAAAGTTGACAAATGCGATGAAATAATGTATATTGTTGTATTACTTATTATTCAATGGCCAACAAAATTTTGTCGTTTAATGGTGTTAATCTTTATTATTCAGGAAAGTTATTATAAATATAAAAAGTTATGACTATACCAAGTGCTTTGACACTTAAATTTAAGATTTTTCAAAAAGTGGAGTTAATCGATGTGTGCACTGAATGGCTCATATAGGTGTCATCCCTTTCTTGTCGTCCACTTAAATTTAACTATAAGAAAAACATTAACGTACATATTCAATAATGATCGTTACCGAATATTTATATCTTAACCATTTGTTGTTTTTACATTTATTCACGCATTCATTTATAAATTTTTCCCAATCCTACACGTTTAACCCCTTCCCGTACTTTAGCGAGTCTGACTCGCGATGAAGATTTTTGCCCAAACACGAATATTGCGAATCAGACTCGCGAACAGATACTTGGGTTCGTATTCTGACTATTTACAAACAGCTTACAAACAAACATCACTCTAGTCCAGTGGTCGGCAAAGTGGTGGTCCGCAAGAAAATTTCACTGATCCCTAGAGAAATATGGAATATACTTACTCATCACGTTAAGTTATGTTTTAAAATGCATTGAAACATAATTCAATTCATAACAATACATAGCTTTCATAATTTGGTTACAATTAATAATTTCATTTTATTAACGAGGTACATTTTATGTGTTTTTAGATCATAATTTTTTTTGTAAATATATTTAACACTTAAAAAATCCTATTAATGGTCCGCGGGATTTAAATTATGAATTGACTGGTCCGTGAGGTCAAAAAGTTTGGCGACTGATGCTCTAGTCTGTTTAGCGCGCGTCGATGCCTACCGCTTGGGCCTGAGTTTCGTCGAGCTAAATAGCATGGGAAGGGGTTAATAATGAAATTTGTTTTGATTTATAGAAGGTGGACCCAAAACAATAGATTTGCATCGTAGGCAAAGTAGTACGAGACGTAAGGAACGTCGAATGGACCCTATTCAAAACGAAGCACTTGACATGTCTACGAATAAAACCGTCACTACGACGTACCACAGACCCAGTATAATCATATCTCCTACGTCGCAGTCTGGTAAGAAATTATTATCATTTTCAAATATAATTCTTATTATTAATAAATATAATAGTTAAATAACAAAACCAAACAAGAATAAACAGACAAAATATTTTTTTAATTTTTAATACAAAATAAAAAATAGTTCATTTCATTTCTCATCTTGAAAAGTTGACAAATTTTTCTTCCAAAAATTTTCTATTATTATAGGATTCTAAATCGACGAAACGTTAAATATTTCATATAATTTTGTATCGTCAATCGTTTTTTTTTAGAACGAATGAAGAATAACTCTTGGAATCTTTCGTCTTTGTAATGAGTTTCTAAAGTTTTATTGTCTTTTCTTAGGGTGAAAACGTTATGTCTCGGCTGAGTAATATACTTTGTTCGATTGAATGAAATGCATTAAAACATAATGCAGATGTTGATTACGCGATGAATACTAATACGATTGGTTATTATCAAACAAATGCTTTTATAATTGAATATTTAAAATGTTTGTAAGGGATTCGACGTAAACAAAGAAATTAACTATTTTTATTTTAAAAATAGAAATTATAATTATCGATATTTATAAACGTTAATTTTTTGGGTACTTCCGTGACAAGATTTAATCAAATTTGGTTATAAGAAATGAACAAAACTTTCATCTTTCTTTTTATTTTCTTTCTTTCTTTCTTTTTTCTTTTTTTTCGTTTATAGTAAGAACAAACGATTGGGATACGATAAATAGGTCAGAATCATCATCCTCAAATGACACCAGTAACGGCAGGAAAACGTGCAGCATTTATGATTCAGCGATAGACGAACACTTTAAAAGATCCCTAGGTGCTGAAAAATACGCGGCAGTTTTTCATGCCACCGGTGCTGACAAAGAAATTGGTTTAAGTGGTAAGTTCAAACAATATTTTTCTATTTCCTATCTTCGTCGTCGCCCCCTCCCCTTATTTACTGTCGATTATTAAATCACACGTTGTTTCTTGTATTTTTTTCTTCTTCTTATTTTTTGCAGTCGACGATCACTTCGCAAAATCGTTGGGTGATAAATGGACGACGTTGAAGGAGCCAGTGAATGGAAGAAGTTCCTCTAATCACGTATCAGTTCCCGCGGGAGACATCAATTCCTTCCCTTCCTTTCATTATTGCCCTTCTTGCGTTTTCCCCGATAAGGTTGGACCACCATAATGGAACTTCTTTTTGCTTTTGACTGGTTACACGGATATGGGTAGAAATGTTTTATGCGTTTACCCGTACGCTAAATATTTTAGAGAATGATTTTTTATCATTAATATAGTGTATATAGTAGAATATTTTCGTAGCTCGCGCCATTTGTTGAAGTTATTATTATTATTATTATTATTATTATTATTATTATTATTATTATTATTATTATTATTATTATTATTATTATTATTTTCATTGTTAACGTTCGTGCGAAAGTTAAAAAGAAAGAAAGACGAAAAAGAAAAAGAGAAAGTATTTATTAAACTTGTCGATGAACGACTTGTACGTGTATTTATGTAAATAATTATATGAGTCGTTTATTTTGAAAGTGGCCTAACTCCATTTATGTTCGAATCAAGATATTGAAGGGTTTACGTTTCAATGCAATTAAAAATATACAAACAGGATACTAACGACTTATACTGCTTGAGTGTATCTAAAGGTGTTCAATTTATAGTTTCTGTTAAAATAATGGTAATTATTAAGCGAATAATATGCACTTTCTTATCAAGAATGAATTTAGGCCACTTTCAAAACAAACTTTTTCATCACTTCATTAGTCAACAAATTTTCTTGTTATAAAATTTTCATGATTTTATATATATTATTAAGAAATTGCTTCAGAATGAAAAGATCATGTAAAAATGTAACTATTACAGTAGCTAACTCGATTTTTTTGGAAAATGGAGTTAGGCCACTTTCAAAATAAACGGCTCACATGTATTGCGCACTCGCT